AACAGAAGACATGATAACCAAATTAAATGCTGCACCGTGCAAACTGATATTGTATAACTTTTCTAATTCTGTAGCCCTTCAGATTCCCCAAAAATTCCCTCAAAACCAAAAATTTTTCTAGAAACAGTTTATTTTTAATTATATAGTGTTAAAATATAACCTGTGATATGTTGGGTTTTTGTTTATTTGTTTGTTTTTTAAACTACACAGCTCAAAGTTGGCAGGATAACCTTGACTTTCTTAGATATTTAAGGGCAAATTTGTAGATCCTATGTTAGTAGTTTAAAAAAAAAAAAAAAAGTCTCCTAATGGTAAAGCTGAAATGAGGTATTTATTGAAACCCGTGAATAGCAAGCTGAATCTTTTGTTAGTTAATTATTTTCATTTAATTGTTGTAAAAATTGAATAATTATTTTCAGATCTAAATTATTTTTCTTGACAAATGGTTAATTGCTTGATTGATTATAAATTAAGACCTGTGGTAGGAGAAAAAAAAGCATCTTTCCCAGACTGCTTTCACTGAAGATTTTAGGAATCTCAGTATCTTAAAATTCGCCAAACCTTTGATTTTGAAAATCCTAAGGTTTTTATGTGGTTATTCTATTCTCACATTTCATTCATAGTTAAATGTTTCCTCATAGTCTAATATTTTATTTTTGACAAGCCATTAAAAATGGGACTAATCTTAGAAAATATTATTGTCTTGTTGCATAATACATAGCAGAGATAATAACACAGAAAAAATGTTAATTAAGATTATTTTCTCTGTTTCTTTGTTTTTGTGGAAAGAGGAATCTAGATAATCTGTGTGGCTGAGTACAGCTGTGTTAAACATTTAAAAAAGGTGGTACCTGTGGGAAAAGTGATTGGAGCTTAAAACTTGTACAAATTGACAGCCTCTCTTCACTCCATTTTTCATCCTAAAGAAGTCTGCAAATATTCTTAGCTCACATCATTATTGCTCATCAGTGGTTCTAATTAGCTAAACAGGAGTTTGTCTCAGTCATTGATCATCATCAGCTTCTTGACAGTGCCTGAATTTTTTTCCATATTCCAGTGGATTTTTTTAATATATTGTAAATATATAACAGCTGAATAATAAAATCAGTAAAAAATTATCTGCATACTTGCTATCCTCCTAAAAAGGAGGGGGGAGTTGCTACTATTCATACCAAATTTCATTTTAAGGCGCAACAGCAGATCCAGTAAGCTGCAGTCATATTACCTAGAGGGACTGTGGGGAGCTGTCTTGTAATGAGTGTGGGAAGTTATCCTATGCCACCAGGAGGAGCAGCTGATATGAGGTTTTAACTTACGCTTTAGGCTGCTGACAACATCCGTTGTATGTTACATTCTGATAACTGGGTTTTCTTTTTCTTTAGCTGTGTGATAACACGTTAAAACTATTTGTGGTGGCGTTAGCACGGTTTTCTATTTGTTATGATAAATGTAGATCTGTATTTACAAACTTTGTTCCTTGACAATTTTGTTCAAAGGAGAATTTGACTGAGCATCTGATGCATAGGGAAAATAACTGTAGTTAAAGGTACAGTTGGAATCACTAGCTTAGGTGTTCATGTATGGCTACTTACATACACACCGCTTTTGCTTCACTTGTTAATAAAAGTCTCTCCCTCTGTCTGGCTGCCTCCACAGTCTTAAAGCTTGTTTGGTGCAGCTTTGTCCTAAAGTTGCAGGGCTTCGTAAGTACTCGAATACCAATAAAACATCAGAATTAGCTGTGCATGCTGCTTTTCAGATCTCTAGAGCAGCTTGTTCTTTGGGTTGGTTCTTGGTCTTTTGCTGGCTTATTCACTTTCTTCCAATTCCCTCTTACAGTAAAGAAATAAAAGCTATAGAGTTCTTCTGAGGCTTGCTTTGAGAAATCTACCTGGCTTATCAGATTTTCAGATCAACTAATCCATTAGACAACAAGTTTAATAAACTTTCAAGGGATGATTGCATACTTGAATTAAGAGACTAGTTAATTATCCAGTATTTGTGTTTAATTGGGCTTAGTGTTGAAAAAAGCTGACTTTCTGAGAGGAGGTAGTGGTTAGAGGAGTGAGGAACACAACGGCAGAGAGATTGTGGATAGTAGTTGTAGAATGACTGGTAAGAGCGAAGGTTTACTTTCAGGTGGTATAGGAAATAGAGTTGAAATAAAATGGGGAAGAAAACGCAGCACTTTAGGAGCAAAGCGTTGCATGGGGCATATCAGTCAGCAGTCAAGCCAGGATACTTTTGAGGAAAGAATACAATGTTATTTAGTAGTTCATGGAACTTGTATTTTGCATTGTAACCTCTTATGTCTACACATTACTATTTTTACTATATTTTGTAGTAGAGAGATGCTTTGCTTTTTGTCTTTTGAAGCTTTTAAAATTTTGGATCTAGGAAAGTATTTATGCATATGTCTAATCTTAAATTCATAAGTTGTGTGATTGTAATTAAGAGCTGAAAAAACTTTGAGTGCCATAATACTTGGAAAGAAATCGATATAGTCCTTGATGCATCGCTTGATCTGATAGATTATGGTGTAGTATGCTCCTAGGAGAGAGATACCTCATTCCTAAAATGTGTGTGTTTTGTGAACGGCGACCATTATCTTTGAGAATGGATAGTAGCTGATAGTCATTATGGACCACAGAGCAAATGAAGTACGAGGAAGTGTTGGGATTTTTAAATGGGAACATGTTGTTGGCTCCTTTAAGTTGCAGGACAGTGGATGATACCTATCATCAGCTGTATACCTGTTACAGAAACACGGACATAATGCTATGATAAGCACTTATAGAATGGATACGTTCACAGAAAGTTTTTTAAACTAACTCCTAATTTTCAAAGTTGTCTGATATATTTTTGGTCGAATAGTTTATATTATCACCAAAAATTATTTTACTAGAACCATTTTTAAAACCTGACTGAAAGCCTAAGTTCTGTAAACTAGTTGTGCATTACTAGATTTTTTTTTCCCAGTGTGGGTCAGTTTATTGATTGTGTCATGTATTATGAAACCTGTTTGTTCTGTTTTCTTTTTTCCACTCCCTCTTTTATCATTATGTTTTTCAAAGGATGTCACAGTGTAACCTTTCCAAATACATAAGGTAACTTCATATCTGCATGGATCTCTGTAATTGCAGTCTACTTTCGGTTTTGGTAGATGTTAAGAATAAACTGTGGAAAGATTGACTGTACTGTATATTTCGCTACTTGTGTCGTCCTAAGCAAGGCATTGTGGCAACTCTTTCTGACTGCAGGGTATCAAATGCTTTGAGGCCAGGATCTGATATGCATTTTTCTGTTAAGCTTTCTGTCTTTGTTCAAATGTTAAGCACAGAGTTTTGATAAACAACACAAAAGGAAATGATGAAGTATCTCCTGGAGTACTTGTTCATAGTTTTACTTTTCCCTGTTCATTACAGCCCTTTAAAAAAAAAATCTGCTTCCATAAAGAAAGTAATTCTTGTCCATCCAACTGTTGACGTTTTTTTTCCTCTTACCTAAAAGTAACTTAAATATGCATATTTTCATTTAGGCTTTTCTTAGTAATAATTTTCCTAGTAATACTGTGACACACTAGTGCCGTTGTATTTGTATTGCTCACTATTAGAAGATCTTATCGCTAGAGTTTTTGACAAGTTTACTCTTTTTGATTTAAATTCCACATCATCTTTATTTAAATCTTAATTTACTCAGTATCGCACTAAGTATTTTAACACGTTATTGGAAAAGCATGGTATGAGGGCATTAGGAGCAGAATGGTTTATCTTTTAAAATCTCTACTCATAACCCTACAATATGCAGTAATACATAGTGATGGAGAAACAGAATTGTAGCAGTTTGTTACCCTTATTGGTCCCTATTACAAAACACTTTGTGTTTCTGCAAATCAAGCCCTTTGCAAACAACCGAATGTTCTTGTAGTTATCTACTCTTGATCCAGATTCACAAACTTGGCGACAGCACTCTTTCGTTCCCTTCGTCCTTGGTCATATTTCCATTTTGTAAAGTATAAGTTCCATGAATATGGTTCCATACCTTCCAGTGCCGGCTTATGCCCAGCCGTAATGGAAGTTCAGCTGTAGTGTTAGAGCATGGATGGTAAGAAAGTGTGTTTCTGCTTCTCTGTCAGCTGTGGTATTGGGAATGCCTTAACTATTTGGCCACTTCTTGGGAGGAAAGTAGTGTGTTTCTCAGACCTTCAGTGAGAGTTCAATATGATGGGAAATATGTCTTGTGCTAGAGAATCTGTATAGGCTTAATATCTTAACATTGCTTTTCTGTCTAGAAGAGAAGCTATTAAAGGTATCAGCATTTAAAGCTCGGCTTTGAAAAAGGGCAGTGATGAAATGAGGTTGGGACAGGTGTTCTAGAAAGTGTTAACAACTCATCAACTGGTTCTTTTTTCTATAAACTATTGTGAATATGATTATAGCCCTGTGTTCATTAACCGAATAGCAGGGACGGTGGTCATGTCCATTACCCAGGCTTCCCAGCCCTCTTCTCCTTCCTCCCCACACCCCAAACTGTAGATTCTATCCATGTGCAGGATATTGTTGACTTAAAATAATCATCCCTAGTGTTAAAAAGTGTTGTTTCAGACAGAGAAAGGCCATGTAGTTGATTGTAAGACTCACAGGCTGCAACAGGTTAGTGTCTCTATGTTGTAATAAGGGGAAAAAAACATTTTGTTCAGTCTATAAACAAGTACACTTTGTGCATTTGGGGAGAAGGACAGATAACTTCAGGTGTTTAAAAATGATATTTGTAAGGCCTCTTTCTTCTGTTTCTTTTAGAATAAAGTTGTCTTAGCTGTTTACAGATGTAATTTGCTGTCACTTGCCATATGCTTCCTGATTAATTCTGCAGGGCCTGTCAGCTTCAGATAATTTAATTTTCTGTGCTTTAAAATGACATTCATTATCAGGACATGAAAAATTCAAATGATTAGCTGCAAATTATGACTAATAAAGTGTTTATTTTTTGTTTATTTCCAGGGAAAAGCAGAAAGCTGAAGTCAAGGACAGAAAGATACTAGAAATTTTGCAAGTCAAAGACAGCAAAATAGAAACTCTAGAACAGGTTTGTATTATATTTAAATTGAGCAGTTAAGAAAACTTTTAAGAAACAAATCTAATGCCATTGCTAAAGTACGAAAATAGTTTGTTGTGTCTTAAGGTGAAAGTCACAGATAACTCAGAGATGGTAACTTTCTGCTAAAGTATTAGTTAAGCTTGAGGGAGTTGTTCAAACAGTTGGTCTTTCACTTAAGAAGTTTCTGTGCGTTCAAATGAAACTTTCTGAAGAGTTTTAGCTCATGACGTGCTTGCTGATTTACTGACTGACCCAAATTTATTGGTTGTCAGCTCAGTGTTCAAAGCTCATGCTTCTGCGCGTGCTGTCTCTGTATGCGTATTGTAATTTAGGAAGGTTCTGATGAGGTTTAGATTTGTAGTGTGCCTGTGCTGTGGAAAGATTTGCCATCCTGGCAAATCTTACGCTGGTAAGCCAACATTAGACATTTCCAGAATAGGTGAGGACATAGTACCCTAAAACATATTGTAACCTAAAAGAGGTGTAACTATATATTTTAGTGTTACTAATGCATAACAGTATGTAAATTAAGTGTTAGCATAAACTATAAAACAATACTGACAGTCTTGTGTCATCTGTGTTCTTTATTGAACTTTGAATACTTTGCATCAGTAAAAAATGAAATGAAATTTATGTATTGAGCCAAGCCATTGGTGAAGTTGAGGGAACGTGAGTTAAATTTCTAAAAATCAAAATTCTTTAGAGTAGTCAAAGCTTTTGAACTCTTCATAGGATTTGAAATATTATGCTGATGAAATCCAACGCTAACAAGTACTAAATGACTGAGAGAGCGCAATAACCATTTTGCCTTTCTTTTCTTTATAAACCTCAAAAACTGCCCTCTCAAAACTGAGGTGAGCGGAATGTCCTTTTTAATATTATTAAGGATGTTAATATGAAGAAGTTGTAATTGGACTAAGCGGGATGAGGGAGAAGGAGAGAGAGAGTTAGCGATAACAAGGATAGCAAGAACACGGGAGGTTCGGTATGCTTTCCAGTGTCTGAATCCTGCAGTTCACGGGGACAAAAGGCTGACTGCTAATTTTCCTCACGGTTCCGACTGCCTTTAGGACAGTCTTTCTTGGAATGAGGTCCATATTGTAGCTAATGCTGTAAACTCATGTAAATTGGATTTTCCTGCTTCAGATTTATTAAAAGTAAACCGAATGCACTTGCTGCCTGACTGGAAACACCACTGAAGTGAGATTATTCACCTATTTTATTTTGCATTAAATCAGTGGCTGGAGTTTCTGTATATTGCTGTCTCCTCAGGAGCTGTAAGTATGATTCATAGTGCATCTGGTGCTTATATGTACTTAATTTTTATTAAACAGTTATGCATGATTAGGCCTGCAGTTCTAACCTATTTACTGTTCTTAGCTGAAAGGGAAAATATATGTACAAGAAGCTTATAAGACTTTGTATTCCGTAACGTATTCAGGAGCATGTAAGAAGGGCTACTTGCTGTGACAACTTTTGGACCTGTATCATCCCTCTCCATGAGTTTGCTATTTGTGGATTCTAATCAATTCTGGAAGCTAAGACTGAAATTGATTAGAAATCAGAAACTGATAGGTAGTGAGGCTGTAGCTCTCTGGAAGTGGAGAGGGGCTGAAAATGTAACAAACTAAGGAAGAGAAGCAACTAGGGAAGAGAAGGCTTGGCTTAGCTTTGGAAGAGTTAACTGATGAGGGGGCAGAAGCCGCTCTTTCAGTGACAGCAGCAGCTTAAATGCACGAGTAATGCAGTCTTTTTCACACAGGCTTCTCAAGGATAGGTCTTTGACTTCTTTGGGGTTGGCAAAGGGCACCATGCAGTACCAAGACGAGTGCTCTATATGAAGGCAGTAGGTGGTATCATTCTGCCATTCTTGCCTTCTCCGTTTTCCAAGATGCCAGGGGATTGAAACAACAGGGGGATCAATTGAGTTCCTGGGGTATTCTTAATGGTTTAGACCCAGCAAGTAATCAAAGACTGCATTTAGCGTAGGGAACAATGTACTAAGGGAGGAAACTGTGAGCATTCTCATTGATTTTATCTTCCTGGATTTGTTTGTTCTTTCTTTATCTAAAGAGAAGGGATATTATTTGTATAATTAACCTGCAAAAGTACTGTTCATGAAGGTGTCAGTTCTGGCACTGTGATGGCAATGGAAGTTCGTTTCTGTAATGTGCAGACAGCAACAGTTCAAGGCTGCATATTGCTACCTCCAATCTATTATCTCTATGAAGGTGAGATTATCCAGTCTTTATCTCTGTTTCCCCCTTCGCTTTTAATCATCACACAAGGATATCAGTTGCAACAACAACTTCTGTGTTAGGTATCTATTTACTAGTAATTTCTCAGTGGCTGCTGAGCAGTTAATCGTACAACTCCATGGTGACTAAGGGGAAAAAGCAAATAAATGACATCTGTCATAGTTTGACATATATGTAAGCTGATGTTGCTGCAGAAACAGCAACAAAAGCCTAAAAGAAAAGTAGGAGTTAATGCCTCTTCTCCTGTATTTTACTTAAACTTTGTCCTGTCACAATAAAGACCCCTTTTAAAATGACTGTAGGTAAGAAAATGTTCCTTACATGCTGAGTGAGATGCATATAAATAGAGAAATAGAAATAATCATATTCAATGCTGAAAACCAAATTAACTTTATTTGTGCTAAGATATTACAACTAGTTGATTTTCCTCTTTTTTAAGGATATAATTGAAAATTGACTAAATATTTAATTTAGAAACTTACATTTGAAGTAATATAGTCTTTAATCACTTTTGTCTAACTTGCACAGGAAAAGATTGTGTATAAATATGCATGAGAACAGAATTTGTGATTTTAAAGATAAAAATTTAAGTTACAGCTTTGCAAAAATTCTGGTGTCTAACTTTGGAACAGAGTACATACATTGACCTTTTGTCCGCTTTAATATCATTTCAGTCTATCGTGCATCTTTGCTAAATCAAATTGGTATAATTTTGATAAATGTCTTTTTCATGGGTTTATTGTATATCTACATACTGTAGTGAACGTTTTAAATATATCATAATATGAAATATTTCAGAATAACAATTTGAAGTTCAAATAAATACATTATTTGTTTTTTTAATGATTGACATTTTTATTGTGAGTTTTATAAATTAAATTTCTTTAGTTCTAACATTAAAAACTTGTTAAAATTTGTTTTTATTTTGAAATGTATGGCTGCTAAGATTGTAGGCTTACTAGTGAATAGTAGACATGAAGAAAAATTTTCTTTTTCATGTAGAATTTCTAGAAAATATTGTTGCAAGTAGCATTACAGTAGCAAAAGTATAATTCTAGAGTCCTGTAGCTCTAATGTGAACTTGTTATAAAATCATTTGGATGTTTGGTACAATGACAAAACACTGTATTGTAGCAATCTGTGTTGAAACTCAACCTTAAAGCAATTTTCTAATGAAAACTGATGCAATGGGAATACCAAATAGAATATAAAAATGAGTATTTATATCTGTCTTCTTTTTTTGTTTTGTTACTGTGTTTGTAATTGGTTGGTTGGTAACTTCTGGTCTTGGCTGCCAGAGCTGTACCTCAGTTGTCATATGTGTATTTATTCCTAATGCTATGAGGTAGAAATTCAACTCCTTTGAGATCAATGGCTAAAATGCAAAACAGGATCTTACTGACCACTTTTTGTCTAACATTAGTATTAAATTAGTGGTCCAAAACTCTTATCTCAGTAGTATCTTTGCCATAAATACGTGCTATCTGTGTCCTTTTCAAGGAAAAGAGTATATAACTGCCTTTAAGTGGACTTCCGTCAGCTTACACCCTTTCCTAGAGTTTTAACTGTTGTTCTCCTGAAAGCTGACTGTTGCAGGTATCTTTTCCTATTTTCCTCTCTCTTTGAAAAAGTTTCCCACCTGGTGTATTGACCTTGTATGTGTCTCCATGATTTTTTTTTCTTATTTTTTAAATAAACCGAGCTTTTTGAAAGAATATGTTAAAATTTGGGACACAACAGGCTGTTCAGACTGCTACTTTCAGAGGGCAGTAGGAGAATAGTAATTCAGTCTACTGCACTGCATGCAATAGATAAATTATATTCATCTGCTTTCCTTAGATGTTAGAAAAATTAAAGGTGACTAACTATAACATTCAATGTTTTCTTTCTTTTATAACATTTTAATTAATTAGTTTTCAATTTTCATGTGAAAGAACTAAAGCTAATCTTTTTGTCCTAGACCTTGTAATGTTTCAAAACCTTATCAACTGATTATACTCCAGAGGGGTTAAAATAGTACTAGCTTGCCTCATTATCTGCACTTGGAAATCTTCAGCTTGCTGTGCAAATCTGTATTAAAGCCCCTTTAATGGGCCCAATTGGAAGAAGCATAATTCTACCTTCAAGCGTTAATTAACATTAATAAATTTCATTCTTAACTTTTGGACCTTCACCTGACTCTATTTTTCTTTGTAGTAAAATGCTGTTATTAAATTAAGACAAAGGTATACACATTATTGCCACCTTAACATTTTATTTCCAGTATCATATAACCTTGATTATTCTGGTGTAATGAGGGACATGAGAATAATTTTGGTAATGGGGAGTTTGGATGAATGCGTCAGTAGTGATGAGATTATGCAGAGTTTATAAACTCTTTATGAAGAAGTTACTCCAGTGAATGAGATTTATAAATGTTGCAGGTGAACAATATCTAAGGGTACTAACACATTCTTTTCATTAAAAAAAGCTTTTTTACTGAAGGTATACCTCAGAAAATGGACACAACCTTCAGTGTTGGAAGCTGCTTCTTTTATGTAGCCCCTTCTGTAGCTGAATAAATCTTTGTGCCTTGTTGCCTGCCTTCTTCTGGTTAGCCTTCTCCTTGAACTGAAGCAAAGCAGTCTCCTTTAGGATAAGGACTGAGTGAGGAAGACAGGAAGGAAAAAATACTTATAATTCCACAGGTTGAATATTGTGGATTCTGATTTATTGATCCAAGGCTACCTG